ACACATAAGCATTCTGTGAGTTTCAGGGTGCCTAGGTCAACACTCCTGGCACAAGCAGCCAGGAAATCAAAAAACTTATTGCGATGGGAAAGTCTGTGTTAGGGACCTCTCTAAAGTACTCAAGAGCAATGGTGTCTCTCTGGAGACTAAGGTGTGCCTGGTATAGGCCATGGTCTTTGCAATCACTTGGTAAGGATCAGAGAGTTGGACAATGACTAGGGAGGACAGAAGGAGAATTGATGCCTTTGAGCTGTGGTGCTGGAGAAGAGTGTTGAATGTATACCATGGACTGCCAAGAAAACAAAACAGATTCATCCTGGAGAGGGTTAAACCAAGGTACTCCTTGAAGGCAAGGATTCTGGGGCTTCGTCTGACATACTTTGGGCATGTTGCAAGGAGGGACAGGTCCTTAGAGAGGGACATCATGCTTGGGAGGTTGGAGAAACAGCGCAAGAGAGGAAGACCGTCTGTGAGATGGATTGATTCAGTGACTGGGATAGTCAGGATGGGTGTGTCAGAGGCAGTGCGATTGGCACAGGATAGAGCAGGGTTTAGGGCTGTTGTACATCGCTATAAGTCGCAAATGACTCGACGGCACATAACAACAACAACAACAACAACAGCTTATTATCCATTATTTTCTTTTACTTACTTATTTTATTTTTATTCGTGTTTTTATTTATCCCAGTAGTTGCTGCCTTAATTTACTAAGACTACTAGAGGCTCAATGTAAAGAAGACAAAAATTCACACCACTGGACCAATTGGCAGCATCAGGATGGATGGTGAAGCGATTGAGATTGTTCACAGCTTTAGTTTGCTTGGCTCCACAGTCAACACACTTGGCACCAGTAGCCAGGAAATTGAAAGACATATTGCCATGGGAAAGTCTGCTGTTAGGGACCTCTCCAAAGTACTGAAAAGCAATCTCTCTGGAGATTAAGGTGCATCTGATACAGGCCATGGTCTTTGCTATCATTTGTTATGCATCAGAGATTTGGACAATGACTAAGGAGGATAGAAGGAGAATTGATGGCCTTGAGGTTTGGTGTTGGAGAAGAGTATTGAGGGTACCATGGACTGCCAGGAAAACAAACAGATTTGTCCTGGAAAGGGTTAAACCGGGTGGCTCCCTGGAGGCAAGGATTCTGAGGCTTCATCGAACATACTTTGGACTTGTTGTAAGGAGGGACCGATCCTTGGAGAGGGACATCATGCTTGATAGGGTGGAGGGACAGCACAGGAGAGGAAGGCCCTCTATGAGGTGGATTGATTCAGTGACTGGGGTAATATGGATGGGTGTTTCAGAGGCAGTGCGATTGGCACAGGACAGAGCAGAGTTTAGGGCTGTTGTACATAGGGCCACTATGAGTCGCAAGCAACTCGACAGCACATAACAACAACACTATAGCAAAATATCACAAAATGGGTGCCTTTAGAGAAGACCAATGCATTGTCCAGTAGTTTCAGAGAATAGTCTGGAGTCAGGTTATCAGCTGTGTTGATTCTTTAGAAGAGTTGAGAGAGCAATTGCTTAGTCTTTCCAAGGTGCTAGTAGCCCTCAGCAACCCTTGAGGATCATTGACGTACAGCGACCTTCTCTATTGCATAATCATTCTTCTCTGTCTCTCCTTTTTTTATAAAACACCAATCAAGGGTGCTTGCTTCAATCTGTCCACATGTTACCCTAACTCGTGGTTTCTAAATGATCTTGTTTCCAAACAAAGGACTTCAAAATGCATATTTGAAAGGATAGATTTCAATCTATAATCAGGTGTCTTCTCAAAAATTTTGTAAGAAACCATCACAAGTTAGCCAAGACCACCAACTACAGCTGTTAGCCCCTTGATTTTGATTGTGATAAAGAATCATGTTGCTCAGTGACTCCAAGCTTTCTTTTAGCCCATTTTCCTAACCACATCTCTCTTAATAAAAGGACTCTTATGTTCCTATGTTCGTGTAGATTTTCAGATTCAAAACCCTGATGTATTGCTATGAAAAAAATCCTAATGCAACCCAAACAAAGCTAAAGAGTTGATTTTAACTCATAGAGACCCTTCACAACATTTCTGAGGCTGTAGTTTTTTTCCCCATTCATCCATTTGAAACCTGTTTGGGAGGAGAGTGCCCATCTTTCTCTCATGGAGTGCTTTCTGGGTTTGAACTGCCAACCTTTCAGGTAACAGTCCAATATATTACATGCTCCATCACCAAAGATCCTCGATATCTTGCCCAGAAATGATGAACTTGAGTTTTGTGCATCTGCCAGTTCTTGATCCATTGTTCTGTCATTTTGATTTATTAGACATGTCTGCTAACATTACTAAAAGCTTATGTATTACCTCTTACTATTTTATTCTAATTAGTTGGGCTCTCTGGTGGTTCTGTCTCCTAGGAGATGAGCATGAGCCTGTATAATTGGCTTCCTTCTTTAGGACAGCTGGCTAATCCATCACCTTGGAATGCAGGGTTGAACTTATTTCCACATGTTTATTTTATATGACCATGAGTATTGGGCAGTTTTCCCTAAATGTGGTATGGTACCTGCTTCATGTGAAATACTGTGCTTTATATTTTATGATATACAAATAGAAAAAAAAATGCATAGCAGGTCATATATTGTGGACAAGCAGAAGAGAGTCGCCTTACCTTAATTCACAGGCATATCACTATTGACGTACCACCTGTCCTATTATTTATAGAAGACTTTTAAAAAATAACTGTAAGCCTGCTTACATATTTATATTAACAAGTCGCCAACTGACCAGGAGCTCTGCTAAAATAGCAGCATGTTATTCTGCTAACCCAAAGTCTACACTTTTCCAGCAGTTCAAGTCCATCAGCTGCTCTTCAGGAAACAGATGGGCAGTCTCCTTCCATTAATATTTACAGCCTCAGAAACCCATCACTGGAGGGTCATTTTGAGTCAGAACCACCTCGACAGAAGTGGTGAAATAATACCTTAGAAGTCTCCTCTTGCGTTGTTCTTGCTAGCTGCTATCACACTGCCCTCGACCTCACAGCCAGTCCAGGCACGATGGAATGGACCACTCACCATCCAGCCTCCAGCTGTAGGAGGAAGCATTGCGATCCATAGAGAGACGCTGGCTGATTGTCATAGATGAGCAGGAGTTTCTTCCTCGTCCGTCTTAGTCTATAGTCTCCACTGTAACATGTTCATTGTCATAGGAACACACAGGCCTGCACTGACAGAGGGTTGGTGGCCATGCACAAGTATGTTATCCAGGAATCACAGCTCTGCCAATATCTTTATGTCGAGGCCTCACCATTATTATCTTTATAAAATTTTTATTCCTAGGATTACCACCTGCTCTTTTTTGTTGCCCTTCCTGATTGAGTCAGTCTGGTGTATTCTCAGTTGACAGCATACCCCTGGCTTTGGGACTTTGAATTGCTAAGTTTTTGTGATGTGTGAAAAGCATGAATTCATACTGTGTGACCTCAGACACATAGAAATGCATGCTCAGTGGTGTGTGTGTGTGTGTGTGTGTGTGTGTGTGTGTGGACATAGAAAGTGAAAGAACATGAACTGATCATCAAAATGATTGTAGGTGGCTTTTGTGGTTTATTACCTCTGCACTTTTCTGTTTTCAGTTATGTGCATATTTTAAAAGATTTAAGAGGGGGCTAGGTTTTTAAAAAAATATGTGTGGAACCTCATTGCTTATGAAATAAACTTAGCTGTTCACATGCAAAAAAACACCCAGAACGTGTATTAGCCAGGAACTGAGCCTGGTCCCCTCATGGAAGGAGAATTCTGTCCCCCAAAGGGGTGTGCCTCATGCTTTCAGACCATATGTAAATCTTGATGCGATCTGTTCTGTTGTGGTTAAATTATGGTAAGTACTCCTTGAAATAATAGTAGAACTATTGAAATGGGGGTGTCCCTGTGCCTTCTGAGCCCTTTTTCATCTTATACATGTTCTGTGTTAGAGACCCGTCTCATACTTATGTGCCAGAGATTCTAACCATTGGAAGCAAACAAGCAGTGAACATAGATTTTATAAAATAAAAATGATTTTTAAAAGCAAAAAGAGGTGTTGGTGGTTGAACAAACTGCGCACTTTAAGAAAAAAAAATGTTGTTATAACCAGTAGGTCAAAATCAACTCGTAGCTGACACTCCAGTGGGTTTTCAAATGCAGTAAATTGCATGGGAGGTGATTGCCCATATTTCCCCTGCAGAGAAGCTGGTGGATTCAAACTGTGTGCCTTTGAGTTAGTAGTGCAGTACAGCACCTTACCACTAAGGCAGCGGAGCTCCCTCTGAAAAGTAAAGTAAAATAAAATGTTTAAAGTAGAGCCCAAGCCACAGCAGAGCTTTCCACCATCATCGCGCCTCCTGGGAGCCCTGTGCAGAGGGGCGCTGCTTCCATCCTGAACTGAGTGATCCAAAACGATCACCTGAGGAGGGAGCATGTAGGGCAGAGATCTGACGCTAAAGCCTTCCAGGAAAAGAAGAGCCCCAGGTACGAAGACCCAAGCCGGGCCTGGGAGCCTGGGAGAAATAGCTGTGCTGAAAGGAGGAAAGGAGCCTGGTAGGAACCGGATCAGCTTACCAAGGATGGGGGTACTGAGCATAGCTTTCTTTATAGATGGACTAGGAAACCTTCACAAGTTTTGGAGCAGGGAAGTGCTTTGCTCCAGTCCAAGGCTACTGTGCATGGAGTGATTGTTGTTGTTGTTGTTATTGTTAAATGCCATTGAGTCGTAGGCATCTCATTGTGATTATATAAAAAAGTGAAAACCGAGGTACCTGCTGGCCTTTATGATTGACCTCAAGTAAGATCTGATAGCTTCCCCAGGGAGGTTGCTCATGGGCGTGATAAGAAGGAACAATCTTCAGGACATAGCTTGAAGCATAGAGACACAGCTAGATCACCGTTGACTTACAGGGAGTAGGTTTTGAGTGACTTTTGCAGCAGGAGGTGCCACGCTGGGAGCATGGTGAGTGTGTGACCTCTGTCCTCTCATCCCGCAGTGATCCCGAAGGTCACCAAGCATCTGCTGTCAAACCCTGTGTTCACCTGCATCATCCTGGCTGCCTGCATGGAGATTGCCGTGGTGGCCGGCTTCGCTGCCTTCTTGGGGAAGTACCTGGAACAGCAGTTCAACCTCACCACCTCTTCTGCCAACCAGCTGCTCGGTGAGTCCGTACGCTTGGCCCCTGTGAGACATGATGACCACAGTTCATAATAAACGACCAAGAATGTGCAGAGACTCAACAGTCTAGTGGCAGTGCAATGATGAAGGAATGTCATATTCTAGACTCGGGCTGAGATTTGCCCACCTGAACCAGTGACAGTTACAAAAAGTGTGTGACAATAAAGGGTTAAAATAGAACATACAAAAAGGGCGCGTGGGGAGCTCTGGTGGCCTAGTGGTAAGGAGCTGCGACTACAATCCCAGAAGTGCACGGTTCTAATCCACCAGATGCTCTGCCGGGGAAGGAGGGGCAATCTCCTCCTGTACCAGTCAGATCTGATTTGACGGTACACTCACACAAAAATAATAAAATAAAATTCAAAAAAAAGGAAGAGCGTTATCAGAGGCCATAAGTCCTTGTTCTTAGATACCGTTGAGTCAACTACTATTCACAGTGACCCTGAGAACAATGGATCTGAACCCTGTGACCAGTGAACAGTGGATCTAAACAGCAAATAGTGGATCCGAACCCTGTCCTATCCTGTGCCATCCTCATCACCTCTGATATACTTGAGTCCATGGGTACAGTCACTATGTCAATCCATCTCGTTGAGGGTCTTCCTCTCTTTCACTGACCCTCCATCTTTGCAAATATTATGTCCTTCACCAACGACTGGCCCTGCCTGACAGTGTGCCCAAAGTGAGTGAGGTGTAGTTTCACTATCCTTGGCACTAAGGAGCACCCTCGTTACACTTTCTTTTGGTGTAAATGGTAGAGTTTGGGGGAGATATGATGATTGGGAGGAGATTTGTCCTCCCCAGGTAGCACAAATGGTTAACACACTCACTTTGGATGAAAAAGTAGGGATCCACTTCTGAAAAGTCAGCCATTGGAAACCGTCTAGGGTACGGCTCTAATGTGACATGCATGGAGTCTCCATGAGTCAAAACTGACCCCACCGGTTTTTTAAGATTAAGGAATAGAAAAATAGGATATACCTTAAAGGTTAGAAGGTTTTGGTCAGGTAGAGAAAGCAAGATTGTTCTTGGTAGTATGTAATTCATCGTCAGCAAGCAACAGAGTATCCAAACCTTAGGCATGCCAGCATCACCTCTCCCTGTGCCCTTGACAGACATAACTAATTGATTCATGTATTCAGGCTTGGCCTTACGAGTCCTTCTCAGTTATAGACATCTACTTCCCGTTATATGGAGCTGGAGTGCTGATGCAAACTGTGTTATTTATGTAGGAAGAGAGAAATGTTCTCAGAGTCGGTCAGGAGAGAGCAGATGATCAAGAATGATTCTCAGGTGTCTTACTTGGTCACCCGGTGGTAGGTACCGTTTGTGAGAATGGGGAATAGCAGAATAAATTGGACCTGTGGGGAGGACTTGGGTTCAAATTTGCATATCCTGAGTGTGAGAGGTTGTGGGGCATCCAAATATTGACGTCATGTAAGTGGTTGAGGTCTCAAGAAAGACATCTGGGTTAGCGATACAAATTTTGAGGTCATAAGCATATGGGTGATAATCAATATGAAAGTGAGATTTATCCTAGAAAATATATCTAGAATTAGGAAATAAAGGCTCAAACACAAAAAAGGTTCAGAAACAGGATCCAAAAGAAACCCAGAGAGCGAGTGTGGGAGAAGAGATGATTCCAGGAAGAAGAGAGATGTGGGCACTGTGAGGGTCCTGCAAGGTGAGGGCTGGTGTGCCCTGTTACCTGTAACAGTGAGGAAGCGGTCTGGACCTGTGTCGGTGAGGTGCCACGGGTGACATCGTGGAGAACAGCAGAACTAGTGTCAGACGCACTCCAGGAGGTGAGCTGCAGTAGGAAAGAGAGAGGAGTGGCTGGTGGTGAGAGGGATTTGACTGCTGTTGCATTTAGGGCAGGAAAGACCTGAGCAGAATTCCAAGCTGAAAGAAAAGGACTAGCAGGAGATGATTTCCAGGAGAGAGAGAGGATGTGGGAGAAACTCTTGGTCAAACCCCATCTCTGTTCCTCTGACAACGAAGAAATGAGCGGTCTGAGTGTGGCTGCCGAGGGTGAGATGGCCCCACCTGCCAGGAGCAGCCCAGGACTTCCTTAGAGACAAGCATGGCCACACTTCGTCTCACATACTGTGGGCATGCTGTCAAGAATTCCTTGGAAAAGGACATAATTCTCGGAAAGGTGGAGGGTCAGAGAAAGAGAGGAAGACCCTCAATGAGACGCACTGACACACAGTGACTGTAGCAGTGGGCTGAAGCAATATGAGATGATGAGGATGGCACAGGATACAACAGTGTTCAGATCCATTATTCACAATGTCACTGTGAGTTGTACTCAATTGAGCGGCACCTAAACAACAACGAAAACCAGCTCTGTACATGCCATCTTCTCTGTTAAAAAGAAGGTCAGGTTAGAGCCAGGGTGAAAGTTCCTAATCTTCTCTTTAAAACATGTTGTTGTTTTTGTTGATTGCCTTCAAGTCGAGCATGGCTCATAGTAACCCTACAAACAAAAGGCCTGAAGCCCCTCTACAACTATCAACATTTATCAAATCTCATAGACATCACAAAATGGCTTAGAAACAGAAGGCGCTAACTAATCATTCATTATGAGTCATCAGGAAGATGCATGTAAACACTACAATGAGAGGCAACGCAGAGCCACCAGGGTGACAGCACCAAGTGCCACCATGGACATGGAGCAACCAGAACACTTCTGATGGGAGGAGAAACTAGACAGTTGCCCTGGAAACCTCTGAGTGCCTGTTAACGGAATACTCACCCTGATTCTTCTATTTAACTTCCCAGTGTATGCTCAACAGCAGTTACTCTTTATGACCATCAAAGGTCATATGTATGAGTGTTTATAGTCGCTTTCATGGATGATAACTCCAAACTGTAAAGAACCTAAATGCCCATCGATAGTAGAATGGGTACATAAACAGTAGAATGTTCATACAATGAACTGTTATTGTTTCACATGAAAAAGAATGCATTTTAACACATGCCTCCTGAGGAGGAATATCACAAGATTGAGAGAGTCGGGCACAAAATATTCATGTTCGTTCAAAACAGGGAAGTTTAATGTGAGTGACTCTTCCATGGCAGTTACTTTTGGGGAACCAACTATGGTGGGGCACCAGGCATATAACAGTTTGGTGAGTATTTTCCAACTTGATCCGGTGGTGGTTACAGGGGTGTATACAGACGTAAAAAGCCTTCTTTTAAGCTTTGCACACTTTGTGGCAGGTAACCATATGTAACTGATACCATAATATTCTTCTTGCTAAACAAAAAGGCACCTGTCCAAACCCACCTGCCGCTTGACTTGAATCAGGTGGGGCTCTTTGCTTCCTTATTTTGTTCCCTTGCGTTTGCTAGAGTTGCCCAAGCCTCGTTTTATTTGGGTTCTCCCCTCCTTTTTTAACTAATCATTCTTTACCACCCACTATTTTGTGGGCATTAGCAAAATGCAATCAGCCTTTTAATGCCTGTCTGACCGAGATAGGGCAGAATATATCTCTTCTTAATTAAAGTTTGCTTCATTTGCACAATTGCTCCAGCTTTGCAGGTCTGTTCTATATTCCAGGATTTTCTTTCGACAAACTGATCAATTGTGTTCAGGGGCAGAAGGTCAAAACAACAATCCTGCCTCCTTGAGCCAGCGCCAGCCCAGTGACTTCTGCTTTGTAGAGCCCTTGGCGCAGAGAGCTCTCCCTGCGTGCCAGAGGCAGCCTCTCGCCTGTCCCTCCCCTGGCAGTCCTACTCCCTGTGTCCTGCCTGGGCCATCGCTCCACTTATCATGGTCTCTGTGGAGCTGGCTGCCAGAAGAGGGTGACTTTGGGGAAGTTAGAGGACACAGAGAGGTATTGGCAACATGAGCTGAGACTCATTTGAGAAAACAGTTCACCTGTAGCCTGCACGAGGTCTCTGGGTGGTGTAAATAAACAGTGTGTGCTTGACTTAGAACCTTAAAAGAAGCCCTGGTGGCACCGTTGGTTAAGCATTTGACCACTATCTGAAAGGTTAGTACTTTGAACTCACCAGTGGCTCCATGTCAAGAAGTACCTGGCCATCTGCTTCTATAAATATACTACCTTAGAAACCACTCTGTTCCAGGGAGTCATTTTAAGTTGGAATCGGCTTGACAGCACACAACAACACTAGAGGTGACTGTTCAAACCCATCCAGCAGCCCAGCAGTATTACAGAGGAAAGTCCTGGCTGTCCATTGCCAGAAAGAGTGGTAGTGATGGTGATGATGGTGGTGATGGTGGTGGTGATGGTGGTGGTGGTCGTGGTGGTGGTGGTGGTGGTGAGATGATATCAAGTTACCCAAGACTCAAAGTGACCCTAGGAGTCTCCTGTTCTCTCTTCATCATGTTCAAGTCTGTGGTGATAACAGTCACTGTGCCATAGAGATGACAGACCTGAAAACCTTATGGAGCAGTTCTCTATAATACATGGGTCATGATGAATCAGAGTTGGCGCCCAACTGACTTGCTCCCCATACCTGGGAAAGGAGGCCCTCTCATTTCTTCCAAAGCAGCAAATGGCTCTGTGCCAGTCACAACCTCATCAACACATGAAAGACTTTAGAAACCAGCAGGCTTGCTGGCGAGGAGGGGTGGGAGGCACCGATTTATGATAAAGACACAATGACCCAGTCTACATGGGTTTAGTAGTAAGGATGGAGTTTGGGAATGTTCCAGTAACTGTCTGGAATGCTCAAGAGCTGTTCCCATCAGGGAGGGAGCCAGGAGACAAAGAGTGACTTCATCAGAAGGCACCAGAGGCTTGTTATTGTCATAGCTGCCAGCCCGTGAATTGACACTGTTGCTGTCCCTCTGTCACTGTTTCTGTCACTAGCCACCAGTCAGTCTTTGGGAGGCCATGCTGGACTGAGCGGGGTGCAGAGGGCTCTTGTCCTTAGGGGAGGTGCATCCTAGCCCAGAGAGAGAGAGAGCAAGTGACAAGGAAACAGAAGACAGAGGACCTTCACATAGCAGAGAGCCACAGCTCACAGTAACACAAAGCCACCTTAGATCAGAAGTGGGGAAGCAAGTAACCCACCAGCCAGGTGGAGAGGTGGGAAGCAGGGCCAGCAAGTGCACAGCCTGGTGCCAGGGCTGGCTGGGCTGTTCCAGGACAGTAAAGAGCAGGGTGCAGTGACAGTGACCAGCATGGAAGGGGAGGCTGGTGTCACACATGAGAGTAGAAAGCAATTGCTTCTACAGCACAGCAGAGGGAGGAACCCGCAAGGTTCCCCAGGATAGAGAGACAATACAGAGGGATAGACATTTATTTAAAACTGAACTGTGCTGTGTTCCTGCAGTGCCTCCCGGATTATGTCACCCTCACCCTAATATTAACATTCATTTGCATCTCTTCCGCGTGTACTAATGCGTGAAAGTGGTCGTCTGACCCAGAAGTCTGTTGATTGGCAAGGTGGAAGCTTCCTAGACTGAAAATCAGCCATGCATAATTTGCACAGTGCACCAGTGGCGCAGGCTTCGGAGAGGCACGTGGAGATGAAATGAATTAGAAGCGAGCGAAACTAAAGGGGAGACCAGAAGCCTGGGGCCACTTGGTCTTCCTGAAATTCCATGGGTCTCTGGGAGTCTGAAGAAGCAGGTTTGTGGTCTGCTATCTTGCTGATGGAGCATATGTAACCAGCAGAAAGAAGGTATTTTCCATGCCAGTGACTCTCCAGGAGTCACACGGAACGTACTGTTTCCTCCAGAGAAAGAGCAGGGCTGGCTCAAACGCTGTCTTCCTGGGCTGCTGAGTTCTTTGGTCTTTAGGAAGAAGAGCTTCCAAACATGCCCCTTTATTCAAACCGAAACCCACTGCCACAAGTTGATCCCACCTCCTGATGGCCCTCCATCCGGTTTCTCGGGCTGTAAATCTTACCAGGAGGAGTTGCTCATCTTTCTCCCTTGTGGAGACCCTTGGACCTTTTGAATCAGAACTCATAACTCAAAGCTCATTGCCCTAGAGTCTCTTCCACTCACAGCCACCCTTCATCAGGTTTCCAGGACTCTAAAGTCGTAAAGGGAGGAGATCATCTTTCTCCCATGGAGCCACTGGTAGCTTCGAACCTCTGGATACAGAGGACCTTTTGGTTCACAGCTCAGTTCACTATGAATGTCACAACCAAATTTCTGGAGTCCTCCTTCTTCTCAAAAGGCACAGAAAACACATCACCATGACTCCACAATGCTTACCCTCCAGAATCGATGTGCATGTCCCAGCCCGCCTGGCGGGTGAGTTTGCTATGATCATGCTGCATTCATCACATCAGGCCTGTGCACACAACTCATCGAGGCTGGGCTTCAAGAGCCGCTTCCTGTGAGCTCTTGGCTGGTGCAAATAGCACACCCAGCTGTGAACCCAGAGCCTAGAGATTCAAGTCTGCCCAGGGCTGTGTTGGAGGAAAAAACCCTTCATGGTAGACTTCCGGAAAGTCTGTAACTTAACTTGAATCAGAGTCAGTTGGACAGAGATTGGTGTTAGTTGTTGAGTGAATTCCAGATTGAGGTCACCCCATGTGCGCAGAGCAGTACTGCCCCATTATGGCAACCTTTTGGAAGCAGATTCAAGGCCTCTCTTCCGAGGTACCTCTGGTGGGTTCAAACCACCCACTTTCTGGTGAGTAGTTGAACACTTAACCATTTGTACCATCCGGAGTTTCAGGCTGAGAGTAGCCCCCTAATAAGTACATTGGAGTACTGCTGAGAAGGTGGATGTCACCCCTCCCCGCTGACCAGCCCATCTGGTTCCTCATGTGCTGCTCTGCTCTCCTTCCAGGGATGACCGCAATCCCGTGCGCCTGTCTGGGGATCTTCCTGGGCGGTCTCCTGGTGAAGAAGCTCAGCCTGTCCGCGCTCGGGGCCATTCGGATGGCCATGCTCGTTAACCTGGTGTCCACGGCTTGCTATGTCTCCTTCCTCTTCCTGGGCTGTGACACAGGCCCTGTGGCTGGGGTTACCGTTCCCTATGGAAACAAGTAAGTTCCAGAAATGTCCCACTCAGCCCCTGCCCATGAGCATCCCCAGCCCCCCGTGAAGGTGTGAGTGGAGCCCGCTTTATCTCAGTGCTGGGGACTGGGGAGATGATGACCTTGGGTCACAGGATCTGTGTGACCTGACAGGACACTCTCCTGGAGAAGCCAGGAGTACATCCTGAGAGCAAATGGGATTTGGGGGCATTTGAGTTTAGAGATGGTATGAACACAGATGAATTTCAGAAATCCCTTGAACTGTCAGAATCTATCATTAGACTTGGAGTCCTTTCAGGGACTGGAGCAAGATGGGTATTGCTAGTGTAAGTGGAAAAAGGGAGGGAGGGAGGGAAGAGAGAAGGAGGGAAGAAAGACGAGGGAAGCAGCGATGGAGGGAAGGTAGGTCGTTCTTATGGGAACATTATCCTAGGGTGAGGAGCTGCGCTACCTACCTAAAGGCACATGGTTCGAATCCACCAGCTGCTCTATGGGAAAAAGATGGGCATTCTGCTCCCTTGTACTTTCCTGCTTCTGAAAATCCACAGAAGATTAGCTATGAGTCAATTTAAACTTGACAACACGTAACAAACCCCTGCTCATTATCCCAGCTTCGAAGCAGGGTCTAATCTGCATTGTGGAGAACGCTCCCATATCCAGCTCCGACACTAGCCCCCTTCCTGAGACTCTGAGGCTGCCTCAGGAACTGACCTGGGGGACGAGGCGACCGGCTGGCCTGCAGGTGACCCATGCCACTCCAGAGCCAGGGTCCTCCTCCCAATAGTCACAGCACTCCAGAGCCCTGCGGGTACCGTGTGGTTCCCACCAGAACCCATGAGTGGAGCCAGGTTTGCTGCAGCTCCTGCGAATGTCAGCAGGTGGATCCTTTCTGGGCACAGTCGCTGTCACCATCCCCAGGCAGACCTCCTCTGTCCATGTTCCTGCCCACACTGCCCCAGATCCCCTCTCCAGCTTTGAGGGCCTCTGGTTTACAAGTAGTAGCATTTAAAGTTAAGAGCAGTGTGCTGGCCTTTCCTGTGGGCCTTTCCATCGCCCGACTCTGAAGCTGTAACTAACTAGTGGTTAGAAGCGAGGACCTTAATACAATGAAGTTATTCTTCAAGAGAAAAGAGAAGAGTCCAGGGCCTTGGCCAAAGTGCCCACTGTGCTCTCCTGAACACACATTAGGCTCATCTGAATGCGCTCCTTACCCTGGCTTTGCCTTAATTCCCTTATCTGTAAACATAGGACAATAACTGTTCCTATCCCAGGGGGTTAGTCTGAAAACAACACAAGAATGCATGTCGCTCCTTGAACAGTACCTGACACAGAAATTCTCAGGCCCAGTCTCCGTTGTCTTTATGAGTCTGAGCGTGGAGAACCGGGGAGGCTCAGCTGGAAATCATGGACGCGAAGGAGACATTTCCTCTCTGAGCTCTCGAGAACGCCCACTCCTCCCCTGTTCTCTCTCCAATTTGCTTGCACTTGGTATCTTTGTCTTTAATGAGGCAAAGGGCAATTTGAAACATCTTACTGATATTTTGCTCTGGGAAATGAATCCGTCAGACGATGGTTATTTGAGGCCAGGACAGTCGTAGTGCAGTAAGCTTTATTGGACATACTGTCTGCTGAGGATAATACGATAGAGAGGATGAGCCCCAAAATGAAGGAAGATCTGCTCGTCAGGGGAGAAAGATCAGCCACGGCTGCAGCGTCAGGACAGGCTTCGCAGATGAGGGAGCACCAGCTAAGCTGTGGCTGCCGCCAGCCCAGGCTCACTTCATCTGGGCAGAGGCTCCACTCCCCTGCTCACCTGGTGCCATCCTGCAGGGCACAGCCCACGCAGCACTCAGCGGTGGCCCTGGCCACTCCTTGAAGGCTAGTGAGGAGTAAGTTTGCAAGAGGGAGAGGGAGAGGTACCAGCTCAGAGCTCCATGGGCTGGGGCGCCAGTGTGACTCTTGACTGAGGTGGGTAGAGGGATGGCATTCGGGACCCCTCACAGGATGGACCTTTCTCTCATGGGCTCCTTGTCTCCTTTCTATTCCAGCTCAGTACCTGGCTCGGCCCTGGACCCCTACTCGCCCTGCAATAAAAACTGTGAATGCCAAACTGATTCCTTCACTCCAGTGTGTGGGGCAGACGGCATCACCTACCTGTCTGCCTGCTTTGCGGGCTGCAACAGCACGGTATCGATGATTTTTCTTCAGGGTGCGGTGGGGTTGGGGTCCCCAAGCAGCTAAAGGAGCATCAGAGCCAAGGCTAGGGCTATGAGTGGGAGGCTGTATGTGCCTGGGGTCCATCCAGTGCTCTTCTCCGCAGTCCTTCTTAGCTGCAGTCCTGATGTAATGGAGAAATCTCTATCAGCAGGGCGGGCAGTCATTTTAGCTGTCTGTTTAATCAAACAGCTTTCTAAGAAATTTCATTGAACTATTAAAAAGTTTTGAAAAAGAAATTTGTTTAAAGGACACTATACGTAAGGGATCTGAAGGGAAAGATGTTGGTCCAAGGCGTGGATAAAAGGTGCCAACAGAATGAGCTGTCTGTCTGTAGAGGCGGTGAGCTCCCCATCACCAGAAGCATGTACGCAAAACCTAGAAAACTTGTTCGGGGAAGAACTCTTCCAAGCCTAAGATTATCTGACACTAAGTTTTCTTCTTCCTTACTCAGTGCCCTTTTGGAGGCCTCTCACCTTTCCCCCATTCCTTTTTTGTAAGGTCTTTCCTTTTAACCATAAAGTTTACAACTGAGTGCTCTCTTCAGCAGCATATATACTAAAACTGCAGTGATACAGAGAAGATTAGCATGGCCCTTAGGCAAGGATGTCACGCTAATTTGTGAAGCATTCCATATTAAAAAAATAGATATACAGAGAGAGAGAAATTTATAGCTGTTAGCACATAGCGTTCTGAGAGCTCTCTGCATGAAGACCCATTGCATTGCCCCCCAAGTTGTGCTGGCCCCTCCTTCTCAGTGTCTCTCCCATCTGTCTTTCTGCACTCATGTCACCACTGTGGCCTCAAGGATCTGAGCAGTAGCTGCCTGCCTCACAGCACCTTCCCCCAGCTCAGTGTGGCCCCCTTCTGGTCAGACTTCTGCACTGACATCAGAATGTTGGGGGTTTTTTTCCTAAAGCTGAAAATGACTTTTCCTAAAGGTGCTGAAAACGGGTGAACGTGCAGATGCTAACTGAAAAGTTGGAAGGTCACACCCACTCAGAAGTGCCTGAGAAGAAAGGCCTGGCAATCTGTCTTCCAGAGCTTTCCATACCCCCACAGAACATAGTCCTCGTCTGCACAGGGGTCAGCATGAGTCTGAATTGTTCTGGCAGCCCTTTCTTTGGGGTTTTTGAGTTCTGTTGTTCTAGGTGGGTTTTGTTGTTGGCTAGTGCTGGTCTGGAGTCAGAATTGATTCAGCAGTAGCCATTTTGTTTTTTAAATTTTTTCTTTTCAATGTTACTCACCAACTAGAAATAAGTCACTTTTCCTGATTGGCATGTGTCTGCATTCAGCTTTTCTCTTCAGCTCTGCCTCCTTTCGGTTTGAAGTATTCTATTTCCCCATACTGCATGTGTCTTTTCATATCTCCCTCTGACAGCTGGGAAACTCCTGTTCACTCATCAATACCCTACTCAGAAGCCACTCCCTCTGTGAAGCCACCCCTGTTCTCCTTCCTCTTTGGGATTCCTGCCTCTGCAGCCCTTTGGTGCCTGCCTTGCTTTTCTCTCCAGTGATCTGTTAATGGGTCTGTAATCTGCTCCAATCGCTGGGTTCCTTAAAGATGGGAACTTGGGATCATATCTTCTGAAATCCCTGTGCTGTCCCCCAGGAGAGGCTCACTAAATGTCTATAAGGCACGGGAAAGACACAGAGGTTACAAAGTAGGCCACGTCGCTGTGATCGAGAAACTCGTAATGGAATTTATGAGTTTTTTCGTTGTTCCCACATTGTGTATCTTTTGGGAGCAATAATTTCCCTGGAAAGAACAAAGCAACTCGTTTCTTTTCATTTTCAAAGAATTTGTTTTTCTGTACTTTTAACATTTAGATTTCTGGCCAGTTAATAACATCTTTCTATGGAGAAAATAACTCACCGTGCAGGAGGGGGGAAGGAGCTCCTTTTTTAATTGGGTTACAGAGCACTTTCCTCCTGTGCATGGAAAGGAATTTTAAAGATGAGGCCTTGAGAATGGTTAAAATAAAAACAGGCTGTTATTTTTCATGACAACAATTTCATTTAGTTATATTATAAGTCAGTCTCAGGGCTGATCCTGTTCCAAGAATGAAATTGACTCTCTGTCGGCTGGTGTCCTGAGACCAGGTGAGTCTCTGTTTCATAGAATACACAGACCAAAAACAGATCTTAAAAATTGCATTTCCCTCGATCTTGCATGGACGAGAGTCTTATTGAGCGAGTCCCGACCCGCCTGTGGCCGCCTCTCACTGCTGAAACAGCAGAGCTGCAGAGGGTAATTACCTGATGGTGAGCTCCTCAGATTGCCTCCAGCCCTCCTCTAATCCCCAGACACCTGCCTTTTCTTCACATGCGTGAGGCCTCACATTATCTGCTGAGGTGAAGGCAGGGTGGGAGGTCATTCTCCTGCAATTATGAGGCGGAGAGTGAGAAACCACATGTCCTCAGAGCTGGAGTCCAGCAGAGTGGAAGCAACATTCCCTCCTCCTTACCACCCCAGTTGAGACAGGTGTGCAGTTGCTCTGGCTTCCACAGATGTATGAGGAACTCGGGAACACAGAGCCACACTTGTCTTCTGGAAGGGGGCCATATAGGTGATGGTCAAGCTTTTAAAACATCCACAGCCTTGAAACTGCAGCAACCAGTTTGAAAGACTGTCATGGGGCTTTAAAGAGTTTATTTGCTGAGAACCAACTTTTACCAGTCATGAGAGAATCAACTAATAGTTGTCAGTACAAGTAGTTCATACACGTAACTAACCATTATGTTTGAAGCTCTAATACTTGATTGAGCCTTTATGAATTTAATCAATGGTGTGTTCTTTTTGAGTGGTCGCTAATGCTGTAGACTGTACAAACAGAGGTGTGGTTTTCAAAATCAGATCTGAACTGTTCAAAGCATGATAAACATTCATTTTACAACTAGATTGTGTAAGGATAATACTGTGATAGAGCCCTGTGTTGATCCCCACCTCTCTATAGTAAAATTGATTGAATCCCCATTCCGTTCAGCAGGCACATGCTGAAAGACCATTGTCATGTTAATGGGGGATGTGTTCCTTCACAGTATTTGGTTGGGCCTTTTGTATTGTATACATGATATTAAATGTGCTGTCAAACCTCCCCAAACCCCCCCCAAAAGAACCACCAAAAAAAAACAACAAAACACCCTCCCCACATAGGTCAAAGCCCTGGGCCTGAGAAGAAAATGAAGGTGAAAGCAAAGAGATTTGTTACAAGGGATGTGGCCCATAAAGTGAGATGGGTCGTTTGTCTGAAGTTAAACGGTGGAGAAAGGTCCGTTGTTACAGGTGGCATGACCCATGTGCCTAAAACACTAAGAATGCCAAGCTTTGAGGGTAGTTTGGTCTAATGTTACCGGATCCTTGGTTCTGATTAGGCAGAGCCCACTCGCTTGACTTGATCCTGGCCTCCTGTTGACAACTAATTCTGACCCTAACAGATTATAGTTCAGGGACTTGGACTTTGATTGCTTCCCTTTCTCTGTCCTCCCATGCCTCTCATAGTATCTCCAAACTCTCCAGAAAGGACTTTTCTACAAGTGAAAGTCTACCTTTGCGTCCCATAGCCTCCTTCCCATCTCATACATATTTTTTTATTGTTTTGCTTACAAAGTTCATACACATTGTGTCTCACTGTTCTTCATTCACATTGTGTTTCATACAATCATTCTCATTATATTTTATAAAATTAATCGCCTTTGGATCTTGCCCATCATTACCCTATCTTTTTGCCTGAATCCTTCTGATTTACTTTCCCCTCTCCCTCCACCCACCAAACTGTGCAGCCCTCCGGTTTCGCCTCCTACCCATCCTCCCCTCTCCTCGCCTTGAGTTCCCATACATGTTTTACTAGTTGTCTATCTTTACAATAATGGTCTTCTGCAGTGTTTGTTGTTCTGAGGCTGAATTAGTTCATTCAACATAAAGCTCTCCAGCCTTTCCCAAGTTACACAGTATTTTTAGAAATTGTTGCTCCTAAATGCTCCATAGTATTCCATTGTGTGAATGCACCACAGTTTGTCAATCCAGTAGGTTGTAGTTGGACATGTTTCTAGGTTCTTGCAGTGGTGAACACTGCTGCTATGAACATTGGTGTACAAATCTCCGTTTGGGTCGCACTTCCGACCTCCGTGGGTTGTATTCCTAGTAATGGAATAGATAGGCCATAAATATAACCAAACCAGTGGTCAGGAGTCACTTCCTTCTCCAGGTGTTCCAGATAGAACTGTACTCCATGGAATTTTCAATTACTGAGTTTTTCACAAGCAGATTACCAGGCCTTTCTTCCAAGGCACCTCTTCATGAACTCTTACTGCCAATCTTCCAGTTAGTAATCAAGGGCTTACTTTTCTTGCCACTTGGGGCCTCCTGCCTTATTTGCGTGGCCTCGGCTGCTCTGTCCTTACCTATGGGAAGAGTTTTTTCCCTCATGAGACTTTCTCCAGCTCTGCACGGGCACCCTCATGGAGTCTCAGGGTGCCTGCACTCACTCGCCCAGCCAGTTCTTACCCCTGATATTATGGCATGAGTGCTGTGTGGAGTCTTGAATGCCTGGGGCTCTGAGCAAAGGCCTTGTGCCTCTTACATGCCCACCTGGCTGTTCACTGACCATAGGCAGCCCCACGGAGCTCCTAGTGATAACACCACTCTCTTCATATCCATAAGCAGGCAGGTAGGTGAGAATCGGCAGATCTGAGTCCTAACCATACCGTGATTGCTCCTTTCCCACTATTCAGAGGACCCATCCAGACTTGTGAAAATGGCTCTCAGTCCATCAAAGAATCCTTGCCGTTGGGAAATCTCATTAGCATTAGCAGTTTTCTCATGCTAGACTACTTCTTTCCCTCATTTAGCTTGTTATTATTATTTTCTTATTTCATATGTTCTTGAGTCATAGCCATGGAAATTTCCAGGCTCACATTTGATAATCGTTTTCTAATTCCCCTCGCTGCACATAACCAAGAGGGGTGCCAAA